ACCTGCCCAATAGCTTGCGTTGGTTTGTCTGGAAGCACTATCCTTGGGAGTCATTGCCAGAAAATTTTGAACCCAAAAGGCTTGTTCATCTTGATTTCTGGTCCAGTTCACTGCGTCATTTATGGATGGGAAGAAAGGTACATGCTGAATTCTATTTTTTTTCCCTTTTCCCTCTAACTGTTTTCTTTAATATAGTGATATTGAGAAAATATTATCGCTTTTTTTTATTAATTTGAGATACTTTCCGTTTAGCTTGTCCAAGGATTATGATGCAACAACAACAACATACCCGTGATCCCACAAGTGAGGTCTGGAGAGGGTGGTGTGTGCACATCACATGCCCCGCTTCCCACATCTTGTCCACCACAGAGGCCACTCTCACCTTGCTCCGTATATCTTTACTCCTAATCTTATCTCTCTTAGTATTACTCACACGTCTATCTAAGCATCCTCATTTCGGCTACTTTCTTCTTTTGAACGTGTGAGTTTTTGACTGGCCAACCCTCTGCCCCATAAGCATAGTTGGTCTAACCACTACTCCATAGAACTCACCTTTAAGTGTTAGTGTCACATTCTTATCATGATGCATGTCCTTAAATGAAAAAGTTACTCCATCTGTGCCATTTCATATGGCATACTTTTAATTTTAATTTATCTAAAAAAGAATGACACACTTTTTTATGTAGAAACAATTTTACTTTAATTTTTTATTTTACCGTTAATGAGATGATTTGTACCCACACATTAATGGTTTGTTTAGATTACAAGTTTCAAAAGTATTTATTTCTTTCTTAAAATTTGTGCCTAATCAAACACGTCGCATAAATTGGGATGAAGAGAGTAATTAGAAAAACTCAAATTGATGTGTAATTTTGGGGTTGTTCTCGGAGTATTATAATATCTTTTTCTCAGATCTTTCTTGAGAAGGTTTTTTAATTTTCTTTTTTGAGAAGGATTTTTTCCAAATCTTCTCATCATCATTTTAACTAAAAAGCTCAATTTTAAAACTCATTCAAACATTTTCCTAGTAAGATATATATATATTGCCTTAGGTGTTCAATAGGAAACCAGGTTCGTGGAACAAAAGTTAGGCTAATTTTAGGAGATTGCGAAAATTTTGGTACGTCCCAATTCACTCCCCTCTCGAGTCGTAGAGGTGCACCCAAACTAACAAAAGGTGTCTAAATGAAAAGTACTTGTGACTTTAAGGCTGTATATGCATTTGGCCAAATAATTGCTAGATTCACAGATAGCCCGCTAGGCATGACTTTTACTATTGAAATCCTGAGCTGCACCATATTTTATGATGATTCTTTTACCTGGTTGTTCTTGTTTGTCTATCTCATTCTTTCTATGTTCTGAACAGCATTTGAAGTATCTACGAAAGCTACATCTCAGCGTCTCTACAAGCCTGATATGCACACCAGATTTCACGGGGATGCCAAATTTGGAGTATTTGGATCTGGAGAAATGTAGTAATCTTGAAGAGGTTCACCATTCCTTGGGATGTTCCAGAAAACTCATTCAGTTGAATTTGAATTATTGTAGACGTCTTAAGAAGTTTCCATGTGTCAACGTGGAATCTCTCAAATATCTCTATCTACATGATTGCTGTAGTTTAGAAAAGTTTCCGGAAATCATAGGAAGAATGAAGCTGGAGTTAGAGATTGACATGGGATACTCTGAGATAAGGGAACTACCATCATATATTCAGTTACAAACTCATATTACCAAACTAGATTTGAGCTGTTTAGAAGACCTTGTAGCTCTTCCAAGCTGCATAGGTATGTTGAAAAGCTTGGTGAAGCTAGATGTATCGGATTGCGCAAAACTTGAAATGTTGCCTGAAGAGATAGGGGATTTAGAAAACTTGGAGAAGCTTGATGCCAGACATACTCTAATTTCATGACCTCCATCTTCTATTGTGCGCTTGGACAAACTTAAATTCCTGAGTTTTGGACAGTTAGAATCAGAAGAAGGCCAAGTTGCAGGTTACTTTGTGTTCCCTCCGGTGAACAGAGGTTTACGCTCATTGGAAGATCTGGATCTCAGTTTTTGCAATGTAATAGATGGAGGACTTCCAGAAGACATTGGATGCTTATCCTCTTTGAAAGCGTTGTATCTCAGGGGAAATAATTTTGAGCATTTGCCTCCAAGTATAGCCCAACTTGGTGCTCTTCGATCCTTGGACTTAACAAATTGCAAGAGCCTAAAAGAGTTGCCGGATTTCGTAGGGATGCCAAATTTGGACACTTTGAATCTGTCAAATTGTCTAAATCTTGAAGAGGTTCATCATTCCCTAGGATTTTTTAGAAAGCTCTGTACATTAGATTTGACTAATTGTAAATGCCTTAAGAGGTTTCCAGCTCTGTGCATCGATTCCCTTAAATATTTGTATCTACACGAGTGCTCCAATTTAGAAAGTTTTCCAGAAATCCTGGGAAGCATGAAATTTGAGTTAGAAATTCACATGCTCGACAGTGTGACAAGGGATCTAGATTTGAGAGGTTTAGAAAACCTTGTAAGACTTCCCAGCAGCATTTGTAAGTTGAAAAGTTTAGTCAATCTAGATGTATCAGGTTGCTCAAAGCTTGTAAGCTTTCCAGAAGCTATAGGGGATTTACAA